TTTGGTTTATCTCCACAAATAAAGCAAGCCTGAAGGAGTTCTGTCTTGTTGCGGACTTGCTAATGCTAATAAATAACTTCTACTAGCCAAGACATTCTTTGCTATTTCCTGGATACTAAAACAACAACAGCTTTCCCCGTCGTGAGTCAAGATGGGTTGGTCCAAATATGTTAAGTGACAGTGTGATGTAGATCTGTCAGGCTTTTCAAATCCTGGAGTTTCACCTTCTATTTTCTATCAGAAGCTAATGCAGGAGACAGACTTTTTTTAAGTTCAGCCTGCATATAAAACTCACAATGATGGATCATTTTCATAAATAATAAGTAAAAACTGGTTTCTCCGTGAAGAACCTCTAACTCTGACAGACCAATTCTAACTTAATCACCAGCAATCAATAGAAAAGGAAAATGTAGTTATTGATTTTTAAAAATGAGATCATATTTATGCTGTTGCAAAGAGATTGAAGGGGAGACTTCATCAACTACACAAACATCTGTTCATTTAAAATGTAACTGTTGGATTTAAAATAGCATATTTTCCTGTTTTCATGATAAGTCTCTGCATAGACCATGTGTGTTCTTACTTGATAATCTAAGGTAGAAAGTTGTAATCTGTATCACATTTTCTTTTATGAGCTTCCAGAAGTCATAGAGAAAACAGATACATGAAAGGACATAAAACGCACCACACTACAAACCCTTTTCACTATGTGTAAGGTGTGAGCCCGGCTTCTTCCGGCTCTTGGAGAGTACAGACGCTTTTTTCCTTCTCTACTCCCAATCTTATCCCAAGGCTCTTTGTCTGTCTTTGGGTGGACGGCGCTTCTGCATTTTTTCTGGGAACTGGAAATTATTAAAAATGGACCTAGTCAGTTGGTCTCTCAACGCGATTGACAAAATTTTTTCAACGATGACAACGGGATAAGGGGCTCCCGGGTGCCCCTCTGGGACAGATCCAGTTGGGCATATCATGGACTCCTGGAAACAGTGGAACTTGATCTGCCCCTCTCAACTGTCTGTAGAGGATTTTGAAGACGTCTGGATATTCGTGGTGTTGGTGTCAGGTTTCTTGCTGTTTGGCCTGAGTGGTTACCTGGGTTACCGGAAAATTAATAAGCTTTCGAGGAATATTGGCTCAATCCCGGAGCTCAGGGATGGATTACACCACGCTGTGAACGCACAAACTCATATAATTGTCGAGATGAGTCATAAGCTTTGAACTTTGGCTGAGATTCAGACTCTGGCACAGAAGGTGGATTTGATCAAAGAGAGAGTTGACGGGACAGCACGGTTGGGAACAGATTAATTTATGCCATTATTGGATCGAGAGGGGTTGGAGATCAACAGAAATTTAAGGCAGAGAGGAAATTATCTCTGTCTGACCCCAAAACAAGTTCTTATCTGAATCTGGTGCCCTTGAGCCTGTGAGGCTGAAGTGATTACTCCCCCTCAGAAGAAATGTGGAATGCTGCCGTCGCCATGGCAACTCTGTCTCCGTATCCCAGCCTGGGCGGGACTGCGACCAGTGAAGGTCGTGGAACTGTTTCCAGGAGTCACTGTGCTTTCTAACCCAATTACCTCCCTCCCCTGTCCAAACGGAGGTGACGAACTCTGCTCTCTACCTCCCCACCTAGTGGACACTAATGTTGTGTGATGTCTGAAGTCTGTTGCATTTCTGTCTGGGGTGTTTTTTGCATAGCAAAGCTGCCCTCCCTGTGGAGGGTAACTCTGAAGTGCCTTTTTTTCCTCCACCTGACCCAATCCTCATGTAAACCCTCTGATCTCTATTAAGGTAGCGCGACTCGGGTTGTGAATGACCACAGTCACCAATTCTTGTCATGTGTCAATGCCTATGTATGTATGTCTAATCTCAGAATTGTGTGTACTGAAACTCTAATTTCCCTCTGGGATTAATAACGTATATTTGAATTGAATTGAATTATCAGGGTGGGTAAACACTTGTCTGTGTGGGATTTATTGGTTGCAAAGGGAATGTAGGACCCCATCACCCTCCTGCACGGCCGTGGTTATCTGCTTTACAAGACCGTTGGCGCATTAGAGCCAGGCCTGCTGAAAGCTGTGTAAGCTCCTGTGTGCAGCACCCCCATAAGAACACAAATGTGTTCTCACAGTAGTAAAACAGATAAACACATGCAGCGTGACCAACAAGGACTTGTTTTTCTCTTTTATTAAAGGTATGGCAGAGGATGTTTCTGATTTTCAGGAAAGAACCGCCCTCTCCACATTTTGAAAAAAAAAACTGCGCCTGTGAGAGGGTGCCCAGTTATCCTCATGCACGCTCTGTTTACAAGTAGCGGCCGGCGACGAAGCACTTAGTAGTAATCTGAAATGAATTTCTCCAAATAGCATGCCGAACTTTAGCTTACCTGTCCAGCAGAAAACTGGCGACAGAGGCGTCAGTTGGGAGCCCAACCTTCACTTTGCGCATGTGCAGGAAGTGAAAGCTACCCAGCAACGAGCACGTATGACGACGGCCTTGCGTGAATGGTTCTCCTGAGTGACTGACGGTTATGCGAACCAACAGTTCAGATGATTCAGCCAAAATAAAAAGATCCTCCGTTATACCTTTAGGTTGGCATTCTTTTGCATGCCACTTACAGCGATAATTCACATCTTTTAAAGTTGGTTTCACGGAAAAGTCAATGGATAGATTCTGAACAGCCTCAGTTTGAAGAAACAGATGAGGCCTGACTGGGTTGACAAGCCATTGGTTAATCAGAATGGTGCTGAGATTAAAGTGGATCTGTGACACCTCAATACGTTTTAGGTCCATAGACATGATATTTATGAATATTTATGCAGCATTACACAATTATTTGTATTGACATTTTTTGCTTTTGGAGAAATTAGCATGGTACTAGCTATCTTTAGCACATCACTGGTTGAATCTTTGTAATACTTCTTCTCCAATAACCATGTAATGTTAAACTGACAAAACAATATTTTATTCTTTTAGAAACTCACTTCAAAAGATCTGAACTGTTCTCATAAAGAAACATGACAGTGAGGACAACAAAGAGTTAAAGGAATCACACACTTGTTTTTCTAATACATCTACTGTGGTCTAGTGTGAATAAATGCACTGTGAGTCGTTGTCTGTGAAAAAAAAGCTCTGGTGCTCCTGTTTCCAAAAGTAGAAACTTGTCTGAGGAGTAGGAGATTTGGAGTCTTTCTCATTTATATTCATGACATGCGGACATCTTGCCTCTGATTGGCTAACAGCAACTTTTTCACTGCCTTCATTAACCTTTCTTTCTTGGGGAAAAAATGCCACATTGATGTGTTATTGCCACAAATTACACGAGCCTGAAAATGTTCCACTTGTTCTGGAGCTCTTTCGCAGTTTCGAGCCAAGGTGGATGAGTCCACAAGTGTAATTTTACAGTGTGACGCAGAACTGTGGAGCTTTTCCTGACTCAAGCCTTTCCTCATCAATTTTCTTTTGGCAGCTAAAGCAGGCAGTGAAACTTGAAGAATATCCCTTTGTTCAGCATGCATGTGAAACTCTGAGTGACCAATCATACTTCAGGATGAACAAGTAACAAACGTTTCTCAGTGAACCTCCGCTTTAAGTGGTGTTATTTTCTTTCCATCCCTCCTAAAAACCACACAGGCATTAATCTTCTTTAATAACAAGTTAGGAATTTAACTAGCTCACGTCACTTTTTGCATAGTCATGTGTTTTTGTGTTTAAAATTAGGCAAAATGAGCATCATGCAAAAAATGTTCTCAATTCAACATGCAAGACTTTAAAATCTAAAGCAGCTCCATTTGTAATTCAGGGACATGGCAGCACAAACTGTGTTTCAAACATAAAAGTATTGGTTCTTCCTACATATTTAAACATGTATAATTATCTTACAACCCCCCTTTTGGCATTACTCATCTATCACTTGCAGACACAACCTTTTTCTGTCACCATCACTAAGTTTAAAATCTCTTAAAATATGCTCTAAAAGGCTGATTTATTCTTTGGAGTCCTCTGACTTTGAAACACGAGGCTGTTTCTCAGATTTCTTCTTAGATTCAGAAAATAGAAGAGAATAACACATAAATCAAGTCATGTTTTATGTGTGTGGACAGGAATGGAAGTGGCATGGTGTGTTACGTGTGCAGTTGTATGCTTTTGGTAGTGGGTTAGAAAGATGAATGGGATGTGAGATGTAAAGGGGCATTGGAGTTGTGTACCTGGAACCCATTAGGGACATTTTTTTCTCGTCTCCAGCCTCAGCAGGCCTCTTTCTTCTGCTGTTTTTGAGAAAAACAGATTGATTGACATCACAGCAGTGGATCAGGGATTAGAGGTGCTTTTGTGGTTGTTAGTGTTTGTGTGGTTGGCAGTATTGAGTCATTTCTGTCTTTCTGCTGTGGTTTCTTCTAGTGATGCTGTATTATAAATGATGTCATCTTACAAAAGAGAGTTGCTCTTGATCACCACAAAGATGGACATCTACAGAACATTTGGTGGTATAAAAAAATCTAACAGTATGGAAAGCATTTTATTTTTAGTTCTTTGGTTATCTACAGTGAGCAGAACTTTAAATATGCTGTTTCAGTTCTGCTAAATTTGAAATACAAACATCGTTCTTTTGGCGTAGCTATAAGATGAAACCTAAATTCATTCCTGTCTCGATTTTTTTTCCCCAAAATGTTAGATATTTATTGACTTTTGAGGATTTCACACATCAGTGCTGATTCATTTAGCAGTTGACAGAGCCCAAAAAGATTTTTTATTTAAAAGCAGGACTGTGTGAGATTATCAAAAGGATTTGTTGGAAATTCAGGGTACATGCACATTAACAACATCGAGTGTCACCCTAATAATTATCGTTTTGTTATCAAGAAAGAAAATCTGATAAATGTCAGTGTGGCTGTGTGTTGTGACATGTTTTGTATACCCTTGACAAGTGCAGTAGGCGCACTGCTAATTTAGTCAATTTGAAAGCAGATGCTTCATCTGTGCACTATATTCCCTTCCAGGGTCCCGTCTCCGTCAGGAAGACTTCCCTCCCCGCATTGTGGAGCATCCTTCAGACCTCATCGTCTCCAAAGGGGAGCCGGTCACTCTCAACTGTAAGGCTGAGGGCCGTCCAGTGCCGACGGTGGAATGGTACAAAGACGGAGAACGAGTTGAAACAGACCGCGACAACCCCCGCTCTCATCGTATGCTGCTCCCCAGTGGATCCCTCTTCTTCCTGCGCATCATCCATGGACGACGGAGCAAGCCGGATGATGGCAGCTATGTCTGCGTGGCCCGAAATTATTTGGGCCAGGCGATCAGTCACAACGCATCCCTGGAAGTAGCTAGTAAGTGCTGTTATTTTTGATGGTGTTTTCTTGTTGGTAACTGTCTAATACTACCCTGCACACAGTACACCAAAGGCAGTGGTTCTGAACTTTTTTCCTTGAGGACCCCTTTGCCTCCAAGTCTACTTTGCCTTGGGCCCCCAAATGCCTTGAAACGGCCCTGAGTGTGGGGTTTAGGTCTGAAGCTGATCTGAATTGTATCAAATTTCTAAATATTACATGCTTATAAATAAGCATAATGGGATAAATCTACCTACCCTTTCCTCTTGATGCATTTTGTTTGGATTTCTTGTTTTTATTTGACTATTTTCCCATCCTGTCTGTCCTTATCTTCCTGCATCTCGTTTCAGTCCTCCAGAAAAACTGCTTCCTGGCTTTCATACTTTTTTTACCTCATGAGTTACTGTTGATCTAAGCAGAACAAACAGATCCACGGGCCTCAAAAATAGTGGTGTGCACACTGCACGGTCATAACAGAGAGGTGAAGTCACCGGGCCGCAGGTTTTGAGAGCTGCAGTGAATATAAGATTATGAGCAGACATAGTGCCCCCCCCACCCCACCCCCCCCACCCCCCCAATGAGTCACACCTTGCTTGATTCTTTTGGGAATCCCTGTTTTTGCGCTAGCACATTGCTAAAGTGCATGAGTGTATTGTCTAAAGTACTGTCGGCCAATCCCACATATTACAACGTTGCTTTGGTTCTGTTCTTGTCCTCATCTCATGCAAACGTTACCTGGTGTCTAAGCCTCTTACTGACCTAGCAACATTCATAAAACTCCATGGTCAATGGAAGAGGGCTTGGTTGTTGAACAAGGGAGAAGAGAAGGAAAAGGAGAGTTCATAGTAGTCATGGTTGAGGGAATTGCTGAAGAGTAAGAAGACAGAAATAGTAGAAAGCTTTGAATACATATAACCCAGATTCTGAGTGGGACTGCCTATTTGAATCCTGTTGTGACCAAACCAACTTCCTCCTCTCTGCCACCTGGCATGCACACGTCATTCCTGAGGTTTACTCAAAAGCTTACTGTGCTGACCGTCTTGCAGATTTGTTATCTTGTACAGGGGAAGGTGTTGGCAGTTTAATAGCCTTTGTCTAGCATACAAATCAGTCAGTTTGCATGCTGCCTTAACACACGTGCATGTCTGTAAGCCACTGGTGATAGAAGGAGACATAACAGATGGGAAAGGCACTACATGTCAGTAAATGCAACTAAAAATAAAGTCATTAAAAATAAGCGCAGATGGTGTGTAATTGCAGGTGGAGTCATTGTTTTAAAAAACCAAACGCAATGAGCTGAGTCTGCACAATACCACACATAAAGAAGGCACTGACTGACTGACCAGGATTAAGGGGATGTTCCGCTCTTAAGTTACATTTAGTCCTTTTCTGTATTTCCCAGAGTTAGATAAGTGAGTAAAAAGCATTTTGTAACAGCGCAGTAATTCTCCTGGTCTGGCAGCAGTCCGCCTGCTTTAGCTTAGCAAAAAATATGGAAGTGAGTAGCAGGAACTAGCATTTGTGTGCAAAAGTGATTAAAATTACTCAATAATGACACCAAGTATTCCTAGTGAGCTCAATAATCATGCCGACTACATGCCGATAATTATTTATTATCATTGTCATTAAATTGAAGTTGGACAGATGACTTGATTATGACTTGAAAATTCAAAGTTAAGGACTTGGACTTTCACATCATTGACTTAGGACTCGACTTGGACTTGGTTGTCTTTGACTTGGACTTGACTCGAGACTTGACTGGAAAGACTTGTGACTTACTTGTGACTTGCAAAGCAATGACTTGGTCTTACCTCTGGAAAATACGACAGTGTGTACTGAATGGAGGACCCAGAGAAGTGTGGCGGTTCGGTGAGACCGACATTTGGATAGTCCAATAGTTGTTTCGGTCAGAAACGTCTTATTGGTGGTGGTTTTTAGACAAATGCAAAAGAACCATTTTATTCATTTTTTAACTCCACAATATATTTATAGCTATACAATGTTAGAGCATTTTTAAGAGGCTTTCGATAAATGTTTTAAGCTAATTTGTTTTCTAAATTTTCCATTGCAACTAAAGCCTCTCGGGGAAGAGTTTATTACTTGTAGTTCACAAAATTAACTGGCAGGTTTTAAGGTCGAGGGTGGGACACGGAGACTTGTTGAAGCTGCCTGGATGAATTATGCTTCCTTACTTCATCCTTCAGAGGTCACACAGATTCATGGGTCACCCTGGGGCTAGATGGTAAAACAGAACCGCCTTTGGCAAGAGCTGCTCAGGTGAAGGGAACTGAGAAGCTGGGGAGACATAAAAATGTGCTGGATGGATCAACTCTTTTGTCTATTGTGTGAACATTTCTGTGGGTTTTTTCAGGTTATTTGACTTACGGAGAACTGACATACCAAATTTACTAACTTGATTTATTAGGGTATGGTTTTAACAGAGGTGTGACATTGTGGCATCAACAAGTCATCTCCGTGTCATGTTTTTCTTCTGCTCAACAACTGAACCAGGTTAATTCGATGTGCTAATTGAAATCACCTGGTTTAATTGCTGAGCAGAACAAAAACATGGCATGGAGATGACTTGATGATGCCAAACAACACATTCTTACTCCAAGCGCGTCAAAAACAAACGCTTGGTCAGCCACCCTCCGCGTCAGACCCCTGACACCAAAAGTGCCCTTTTTCATCACTTACATTATGGGCAAAAAGGGGTCTTTCCCTTTTCTGACTGCAGATCCCAATGCAGTGTAAAACTGACGCAATGGGATGTCTGCAACCAGGGGACCAAACAAGCTCATTGTACCTCACCCTAACCTTATCCTCTTGTTATTTAACCTTCCCCTCTCCCCCATCCTAACCTTAACCATCTTGCTAGCGAACACATTAGTGATATGTCGGTCACTCTAAAAGCCGGCTCTATGAAGTGAACGGCGGGAGCCACCTTGCCATTGGTCGGGTTTGGACCGAGGCAACGCAAGGGGGAGGTTTCAACTACCACGGTGGAGGTTAAAAGTAGAGGGTATTTGTAACCTCCCCCTTGCCAGGTGGTATGTTCTAACGTTCCCCTTGGGCGGCAAATGCAAAAATTCGCAGTCAGAAAGCATGGGAAACAAACGCTTGATCACAGTGAGAGTAACGTTTTAGGTAGCAAGAGGGTTAAGGTTAGGATGAGGGTGAGGGGAAGGTTATAAATAGTAAAATGTTAAGGTTTAGGTGCGGTTAAATGAGCAGGTTCGGTGCTACATTAGCTGGCATCCTATCGCGTCAGTTTTACGCTGCACTGGGATCTGCAGTCAGAAAAGGGGAAAAAAAAAACTTTTCGCACAAAAGTGACGTTAAAGGGAACTTTTGGCGTCAGGGGTCTGACGCGGAGGGTGGCTGACCAAGCGTTTGTTTTTAACGAGTTGGGAGTGAGAATGTGTTGCGCCACAATGTCACACCTCTGGATTTTAAACCATCCTCCTTGACATGTGGCCCATGCATGTGGAGTCAGTCAGGGTGCAATGATATTGGTCTCAACTCAAAACTATTAGATATTCTGTGCAATGACGCTCAAACAGAGAATTGAAACAATCTTTAGGTAAAACAAGATTAACTGAGCAGTTATGCAAACGTTTTAATTAGGGGTGGGAATTGATAAGTTTTTATCAATCTCAAGGGCATTGTCGGTTCAGTCTATCGATCCAATTCCTTATCAATCCCAGAGTAGTTCAATAGGTGACAAAAAACTAATTGCACACGGCTTCCTGCATTATAACTGTTTGTTTATTTGTGATGCATAATCAGTTGTACCTGTATCGGTTGGAAAGATCTTTCCAAATGTTCTCCTTTGTGCTCCCTGTGAAGGCAGAGTCATCTTTCTGGTCGGTGCAGTGTTTCTGTAGCTTTTGTAGAGCGGGAAAAATCTCACCACAGGTCAGACTTTAGCTGCTGGAGTCTGCTAGTGTGGAGGTGTAAAGATAAGGTAAATGAAGCTAACATGATAGGAAGTGTTAGTTGTTTAGATTCCTGCAGGATAAACAGGAGAGGACGTGAGAACGTCACCACTGCTGCTGCGTTGAAATTCACTAGTCTGGAGCAGGTCGAAATACGTCATTAACTTTAAGTTATCGCATATTTTGTGCCCAAATGCCTTTTCAATAATTTGGCATTTTAATGCATCTTAGTTAACATTCAAACATTCAGCCTAAAACCCTGCTGAAGGTTCTCAGTCATCCAGGTCATGGTAATCCTTCATTTAACCCCTTTGGATTCTGCCTAAAATGGTCAGTGTTGCACCATCTTCAGGTAAAAACTCTGCACTGCATTTTTCTTTAAATCTTCCATCAATATTGGCTAAGAGGTACCCTATGACGTTAGCTGGTGCCACATGATGTCAGCTCTACCCTCTTGGTCTGCCAGGTAAAGGCATTTGTTGCATTTAAAAAATGGAAAGTGGGAGTGGAGTTCGACTTGCTCTTTAAACAGGTAGCATTTGGATTCATATGAGCACTGCTGCTGCCTAGTGACTGGGTGTGGTTTAGCATTCCAGCATGAAAAAAATATACTATAAATGATTGGATCCCCTGCTTATGGTGCACCCCATGACAACCCTTTGCAACCCCATGGGGTGGTGCACCCCATGGTGCACCCCACTAGCTAGGAAACACTGCATTGAACACAAAATAACAGATTGTTTAAAATGTTTAATAACAACAGATTAATTAACTTTGTACTTAATAATATTTCTCACATATTTTCTTATTAAAACAGTGTTATATGATAATAGCTTGGTAAGTCAGAATATTCAAATAACATAATTACTTGTTTAGACCTATTGGCCTTAGGTTTTAAATACATTTTTAAAATATTAATCGTGTTTCCAAAAATAGTCACTGACACGTCCCAATGAATTTACTTGATTGCCAGTCCCAAATTACTTGTCACTTTAAATGCCATGATGAGCTGATTGTGTCAGTTATCCAGGAGAGGAGAGACACGGCACACTGACAGTAATC